TGATGGGCTCAAGTATAGCAGGGATTGTGGGGCTGGCGCGGGATCGGGCAGTGTTTCGTTCTGCTGTGCATGGGGTCGCTATGAGTCGGAAACAACTCGACGGCACTTAACAACAACAACAACCCCTTGTTCCACATCCTCCTCTGAATCCAGCTTGCATTTCTGGAAGTTCCTTATCAATATACTGCTATACCCATTTTTAAATTATCTTCAGCAAAATTTTACTTGCATGGGATATTAATGACATTATTCAATAATTTCCACATTCTTTTTGATCACTTTTTTTGAATGGACATAAACAGGGAACTCTTACAATTGGTTGGCCAGGTATGTCTTCCAAGTTTCTTGACACAGCCGAGTGAGTGCCTCCAGCATTATTACATCCACCTATTGGAACATCTCACTGGGTACCCCATCCATTCGTGGAGCCTTGTTATTCGCCAGTTCCTTCAGTGCAGCTTGGCCTTCTTCCTTCAGTACTATCCGTTCTTCATCACATGCTGCCTTAACTCACTGCCATGGAGTCTGTCCCCACTCATTGGCCCTATAGGACAAAGCAGACCTGCCCCACGGGGCTTCCCAGGCTGTCAGTCTTTGTGGAAGCAGATTGCCTTTCTCCCGCAGAGGGGCTTGTGGATTCAAACTGCTGAGTTTTGGGTTAGCAACCAAATGGATTAACCACTGCACAACCAGGGCTCTTTATGGTCCCTTAACCAAACCAAACCAAACCCACGGCCATCGAGTGGATTCTTACTCACAGCAACCCCACTGGGTTTCCGAGGCAGTAGATCTTTATGGAAGTAGGCTGACCCATCTTCCTCCTGGGGAGTGGATGGTGGATTTGAACTGCCAACCTTTTGGTTAGCAGTCAGATGCCCTAAGCGCACCCCAGTGCTTCTTTATGCTCCCTTGTTGTTGCTGTTGTTGTTGTTATGTGCCATGGAGTCGCCGTGACTCATAGCGAGCCCTCCTTGGGTTTCCGAGGCAGTACCTCTATGTAAGTAGATTGTTCAGTCTTCCTTCTGAGGAGTGGCTGGTGAGTCTGAACTGCCAGCCTTCTGGTTAGCAGTCAGATACTTTGGGCACTACGCCACCAGAGCTCCTTCACGCTCCCTTGTTGTTGTTATTTGCCGTCAAGTCGGCCCCGACTCATAGCGACCCCTCCTTGGGTTTCCGAGGCAGTATCACTACGGAAGTAGATTGCCCAACCTTCCTTCTGAGGAGTGGCTGGTGGGTCTGAACTGCCAGCCTTCTGGTTAGCAGTCAGATACTTTGGGCACTACGCCACCAGAGCTCCTTCACGCTCCCTTGTTGTTGTTATTTGCCGTCAAGTCGGCCCCGACTCATAGCGACCCCTCCTTGGGTTTCCGAGGCAGTATCACTACGGAAGTAGATTGCCCAACCTTCCTTCCGAGGAGTGGCTGGTGGGTTTGAACCGCCAGCCTTCTGGTTAGCAGTCAAGTGCCTTAGGCACTATGCTACCAGAGCTCCTAAAATGAAGACCTGTGGCCCATATGGAGATCGAACCCGCGACCTTGGCGTTATTAGCACCACGCTCTAACCAACCGAGTATACCTTGGGCACTACACCACCAGAGCTCCTTCATGCTCCCTTAGTTCTTTCTAAACGAGATTTCGCACAACTGCGCCTTAAGGTGCTTGGCTTCCAGGTGTTTCCAGACCTGAGAGCAGCACCGCTGATGAGGCGCTTAATGAAATGTCACTGATGGGGCCCGGGGGGGGGGGGGCACAGTGGGAGGCTCGACTGTCAGCAGGAGAACAGTGGGACCACCTGCGATCAGATCACAGGCAGGGGAGACTCTGCCAGCGTTGGCGGGCACGGGGTAGAAAGCCGGAAGGGCCGCCAGGCACCTCGCTTCTCCAGGGTTGTGGGTTCTCAGTCCCACAGTCCTGACACAGGGCTCCACCGAGCGGTGCTGAGCCGCGGCCAGGACGCCGGCCGGCTGACCCCAGTGCAGGGCCTCCAGGGGCACAGAGGGATGCAGGGTCCGAGACCAGAGCGTGAGGGGCTGGTGTGGACGCCCTGCCTTGAATGCCTTTCTAGTCTCGTGGAGGCTCCGGGAAGCCCGGGTCTCCGTTTCACTGGGTCTGCAGCGGCCCCGGCATTTGGCTTCTAACAAGTTCCCGAGGCTGCTGCCGCTGGAGTGTAACCCGCAACCGGAGCTGCTGGGCTTCGTGCAGCCGCAGGCGGGAGCCGGCGCTGGAGGCCCGGCCTGGAGGCCCTGGGCGCCCGGCCAGCGGCGAGGGCGGCGGGATGGGCCTCGGCCCAGCACGAGGCTTCGGCGCCGGGGACCCACAGCACAAACCAACCAAACAAGGCTCACGGAAAGCGTTCGCCCGCTGCAGCGAGGTACCCCAACGTTTCATGCCTGCTCTGCTTTCTGCCGTTTTGCTAAAAAATAAAATGCCAGTCACGACCCCCAGCGTTAACTCACACCGGGCACCCGACTCCCGGGGGGATGCCGCCCGGGAAACCCAGGCAGGGGTCGCCGAGTCCAGCCGAGCACACGGCAGTGAGCTTGGCTCCTGTTGGGTTTAACAGACCACGGCCTGCTAGGGTCCAGAGCGACTCTGCGACCGGCTCCTTGCGGAACGTGGGTCCGATTGCAGGGGGGAAGACTGCGCGGAGGGGCCGAGGCCCAAAGCGGTGCAGTGGGGGTGGCGAGACGTGCGGCCGTGGGGTGAAGGACCATGAGGGACCGGCTGCGAGGTCTGGGAACAGAAAGCCCCGCTCAGACACAGGCCTGCAATAAAGGGCGTCCCGCGGGCCCACGAAGCACCAATCCGGCCAGCCGCGGGAAGCAGGCAGCCGGCATTGGAGATGAGTCACCGCTCCCTGACGTCACCCCTGGCCGGGCCTCCGCCCCCTCCTCCGCTTCACCCCAGCTGGCTTCCTCTGGGTCCTGGGACGACCCCACCGAGAGCCTCATGGGTTCCCCATTGGATCCCAAGCCCATCCATGAAGCAAACCTGGGGTGAGGCTTCACTGATTGGCTGGAGGCAACTAGTGCCACCCCCCTGAAGGCGGGGCCAGGAGGCTCTTCCTCTCGGGCTAGCTCCCGTGAGCACCCGCGAGAAGAGAACGCGCATGCGTGGCGTCCTGTCCCTGTCCTAGGAAGGAAGAGTTCTTCTTGGGGCAGAGGGAGCGGAAGTGGTTGCAAGGAAGCGGTCCAGAGGACGTCTGCACCTGCGGGCGGCTACTGCAGTCGTTCCTCAAGAGAGCCGCTGCGCGTCATAGGCCTGGGAGTTACTCGCTCCGAAAATGCTGACACCGGGCAGCGAGTCCTCCGCCAGAGGTCGCAGGGAGGGCGGCCCGAACGTTTTATCAGGTGTAGCTGGTGCTACGTTGGGGTGGGCAGTGGGCGGTAATCACAGCTAGGACCGAAGCGCAAACTCTGAAGCCAGGAGGGAGATGAATAAATACATGAACCCGTTTTAGAAACTGGAACTTAATAACTTAGTGCCTGCAGCACACCACTTGGGCTGGGCCAGGTACTTTTCACTGAAACCATTCCCTGAAAGAGATGGGGCGTCGGAAGATCGGCTAGTGTTCCTCAAGGGCAACTTCGTGAACATGACATGATATTAAATCAAAGTTAAGGTGCTGGCCCAAACTAAGAAAAATACTGGTCTTTGGAGAAGTGATGTTGTTATGTGCCGTGGAGTCGGACCGACTCTTAGCGATCCCTCCTTGGGTTTCTGAGGCGGTATAGCTCTGGAAGTAGATTGCCCAACCTTCCTTCTGAGAAGTGGGAGTTAACGGAAATAATTTTATACAAACTATATTTGACAGTGGGAGCTCTGGTGGCATACTGCCTAAGGCATTTGACTGCTGACCAGAATGCTGGCGGTTCAAATCCACCAGCTGCTCCTTAGAAGGAAGGTTGAGCAATAAGGTGCTCTGGTACCGCAGTGGTTAAAGCACTCGGCTGTGCACCAAAAGGTCGTTGGTTCGAATCCAGGAGCTGTTGCGCAGGAGACATATGCGGCAGTCTGAATCTGTAAAGACTGACAGCCTTGGAAACCCTAGACACTGACTTAAGTACTCTGTCCTCCAGCGGCTTTGTGAGTTCGAATCCCCTGGATGGCAGTGGGTTTTTACAACAAAAAGGAAAATAAAATGCAGAAATTACAAAGGCCCATTTATGATGAAGCAGATTAAAAAGAATATAAAGCGGTAAGAAGAGGACCACAGCCGGCACGCAGCTGCGAAATCAAGAACCAAGAACAGAGGAGGACCACAGCCGGCTCGCAGCTGCAAAATCAAGAACCAAGAACAGAAGTTATGGGGAAGCCTCCTAAGGAAGGTGGCCATTGTTGTGGGCAACTGCTGTGGAGTCAGCCCGACTCACAGCAACGCGTGCCCAACGAAGACCCGGCCTGGTCCAGCGCCAGCCCCGTGGCCGACTGTAGCTTGGACCCTGTGATGCATGGGTTTTCATTGCCTGGTTTTCCCAAAGTAGATTGACAGGCCATTTTTTCCTACTCTGTGATATTCTGGAAGCGTTGCTGAAACCTGTTTAGCATCATGGAACACACAAACCTCCGGGCACAGATGAGTGGTGGCTGCAGGAGGTCACTGGCGGGAAACGGAACTAGTCTCCTGCGGGGACGCTTACGACCTACCACGGACCCGCCACCGCCGCCATGAAGTGGTTATTAGACACATACAGAACAGCAGCCTTCTCTTTATCACAGGCAAGCTACAACTCGAACGGCACGCAGGTGGCCCTTAAAAGCCATGTGCAGGATGTTGGTCCGTTTCCAGACTCGCTTCTGTGATGGATCCCGTCCTGCATCAGGTGTCGCAGCTCAATAGGTGTACTGGCCCACTGGGTTGAGCCTCTGCCTCCGGGTCCCGCCTACTCGCCCGCGGCCAATCCAATTATAACGGCAGCCTCATCCCATCCAATGGCCGCTTTCCCCATCCCTGGCCAATGGGAAGGCAACTAGTCTCTCTGTGGGCTGGCCCTGTTCGTGAACAAACTTCGCTACAAGGGGGGGAGAGGCGGCGGGCGGGGGGGCGGTGTTCGGCAGGGGGGTACCGAACAGCGAGCGAGACCCCCGCGAGGGGCCCTTAAGGCTGCAAAGTGCCTGGGGTCCGCGGCTGAGGCCCCTAGGACCTGGGGGCACTGGCAGGGCCCACCCGCCGGTCTTATACAGGTCTGGCCGGCTTCCGAGCCCTGTCGGCCATGGAGCCTGGCCGTGCGCCATCGTGCGCGCCGCCACCGTTCGCGTGTGTCGCCCCCGCGCTCTTCCTCGGCAATGCGCGCACCGCGGGCGAGTCAGAATTGCTGGCGCGCGCGGGCGTCACGCTATGCATCAATGTCTCCCGCCAGCAGCCGGACCCTCGCGCGCCCGGCGTGGCCGCACTGCGCGTGCCCGTGTTCGACGATCCGGCCGAGGACCTGTTAGCGCACCTGGAGCCCACCTGCGCCGCCATGGAGGCTGCAGTGCGTGACGGCGGTGCCTGCCTCGTCTACTGCAAAAACGGCCGCAGCCGCTCGGCCACCGTTTGCACCGCCTACCTCATGCGGCACCGCGGCCTCAGCCTGGCGCAGGCGTTCGAGGTGGGCGGGCCCAGATGCGGGGGGGCGGGTCTTCGCGGTGAGGTGGATTTCAAGATCCGGAGATGACTTCCGGGTAGGGAAGCGCTCTAGGCTAGGGGTCCGTCTTTCAGTCCGGGCGGGCCCAGTCCTGGGGGCGGGCCTTCCGGGCATGACGCAACCCAATCATACAGCGGGTCTCCTGAGCAGGGCGGGACCTGGCTGTAAGGGGCGGGCCTTTCCAGCCTGTTATCTCTGAGTGGTGCAGGGCTGTCCTGGGACCTCTCCCCTCTGCTCCTGCCTCCCTAGCATTCCACGCTCTCGTGCAGTATGGTTTTGAACAGCACCTGTGCACTGGACCCGCTAAGTTTATCCTTGAGACCTGTTCGCTGAGCTCCACGTTTCCACAGCGGGATAACAGGCATCTGGTACAAAACCTTTTACTGCCCTCCAAAAAGTGCGAGTCCGCCCCACCTTTCCAGGTGAAGGTCATTTTCTACTTTCTCCTAAAGCCCTCCTCTCTTCCACTTTGCTCACCCACTCACGTCACCCTTGCCACGAGCTCGGGCCTCTGACTCACTGCTCCCTCTGCCTGGAGCACTCTTCCCCCAGGTTGTCCACTTGCTTTTTCGTTCGGTTTCCCGCACCCTGGCCCAGACGTCAGCTTCCTAGCAGGGTCCTCCTGGCCTCACTCCATGAAGTAGCCGCTCCCCTCCCAGGCTCTAATTTATCTCTGTCATCGTTAGGTCCCATTGGGTCGGTTCTGACTAATAGTGACTGTACAAGTTCTGACTCATAGCCACCCTTTATTCAACAGAACAAAACACTGCTGCCTTGCGGATCCTAACGATCTGTGCTGCAACTGAGCCAGTCTGTGTCAGTCCGTCTCCTTGAGGGTCTCCCCCTTTGTCACTGACCCTCTCTCTACCTTACCGAGCATGATATCCTCCAGGGAGAACATGACCAAAAAAAGTACAAAAGACCAAACCCGGCCATTCTCACTTCTAAGGAGCATTCCGGCTGCACTTCCCCCGACAGACGTGTTCGGTCTCCCTGCGTGCCACAGTGTATCAGGATTGTCACCAATGCCACTATCAGAGGCATCCGTTCTTCCGCCTTCCTTGTTCATTGTCCAGCTTTCACATACACGAGACTGTTGAAAGTACTATGGCTTGGGTTAGGGGCACCGTAGTCTTCAAAGACGCATTTTGGCTCTTCAGCGCTTCAGAGAGGTCCCTTGCACAGATTGGCCCAGTGCAGTACGTTGTCTGATTCCATGACTGCTGCTTCCGTGGGTGTTGATTGTGAATCCACATAAAGTGAAATCCCTGACAACTTCACTCTTCTCCACTTACCATGATGTAGCTTATTGGTCCAATTGTGAGATTTTCATTTTCTTTATGCTGAGGGGTAATCCGTACTGAAGACTATATGTAGTCAACAGTAAGTGTTTCAAGTCATCTTCCCTTCCAGGAAGCACGGTCGTATTGTCTGCATATCATGGGTTATTAAAGAGTCTTCCTCCCGATGCCGTGTTCTTCTTATAGTCCAGCTTCTCGGATTAGTTGCTCAGCATACAGACTGAACAGGTGCGGGGAAAGGGCACAGCCCTGACACGCACTTTCCTGACCAGGCAGCATCCCCTTGTTCTGTTCGAACGACAGCCTCCTGGTCTCTGTACAGGTTCCTCGTGAGCACAATGAAGTGTTCTGGGATTCCCATTCTTCTCAATGTTGTCCATAACTTGTTATGATCCACACAGTCAAATGCCTTGGTATACTCAGTAAAACACAGTTGAACATGTTTCTGGTATTCTCTGCTTCTAGCCAAGATCCATCTGACACCAGCCATGATATCCCTTGTTCCATGCTGTCTTCTGAATCCAGCTTGGATCTCTGGCAGTTTCCTGTCAATAACTGTTCCAACCACTTTTGAATTATCATCAGCAAAGTTTTACTTATGTGTAATATTAATGATACGGTTTGATAATTTTTGCATTTTGTTGGATCACCTTTCTTTGGAATGGGCACAGATACGAATCTTGTCCAGTCAGTTAAGGCATTGAGCTGCTAACCAAAAGGTCAGTGGTTTGAATTCACCAGCCACTCCATGGGAGAAAGATGAGGCAATCAAATTTTGTAAAGATTTACAGCCTAGGACACCCTATGGGGCCCACTAGGAGTTCGAATCAAGATGATGGCACCGGGTTTGGTTTAGTTTCTAGTCAGTTGGCCAGGTAGCTGTCTTCCATATTTTTTGGCATAAATGAGTTAGCATCTCCAGCACCACATCTGTTTGTTAAAACGTCTCAGTGGGTATTCTGTCAGTTCCTGGAGCCCTACTTTTTTGCCAAGCCTTCAATGCAGCTTGGACTTACTCAGTACCATCGGGTCTTGATCTTATACTGTCTCCTGAAATGTTGAATGTTGAACAGTCCTTCTTGGTACAGTGACTCTGTGTATTCCTTCCCTCTTCTTTTGATGATTCCTGCATTGTTCAACATGTTGCCCATTTGTTGTTGTTGTTATGTGCCATCGAGTTGGACCCGACTCATAGCGACTCCTCCTTGGGTTTCCGAAGCGGTATCACTATGGAAGTAGATTGCCCAACCTTCCTTCCGAGGAGTGGCTGGTGGGTTTGAACCGCCCGCCTTCTGGTTAGCAGTCAAGTGCCTTAGGCACTATGCTACCCATAGAATCCTTCAATATTGCAACTTGAGGCTTGAATTTTTTCTTCAGTTGTTTCAGCCTGAGGAATGCTGAGCATGTTCTTCCTCTTTGGCTTTCCAGGTCTTTGCACATTTCATTATAATACTTTGCTTTGTCCTCTGAAGCTGCCCATTGAAATCTGTTCAGCTCTTCTACGTCATAATTTCTTCCATTCCCCTTAGCCACTCTTCTTTCAAGAGCAAGTTTCAGAGTCTCTTCAGACATCCCTTTTGGTCTTCTCTTCCTTTCTTGTCTTTGTAATGACCTTGCTTTCTCCATGTGTGATGTCCTTCATGTATGATGTCCTCTCTCCATGCATGATGTCTTCTCTCCATGTATGATGTCCTCTCTCCATGTATGATGTCCTTCATGTGTAATGTCCTCTCTCCATGTATGATGTCCTTCATGTATGATGTCCTCTCTCCATGTGTGATGTCCTCTCTATGTATAATGTCCTCCATGTATGATGTCCTTCATGTGTGATGTCCTCTATGTATGATGTCCTTCATGTGTGATGTCCTCTCTCCCTGTGTGATGTCCTCTCTCCATGTGCGATGTCCTCTCTCCATGTGTGATGTCCTTCATGTGTGATGTCCTCTCTGCATGGGTGATGTCCTCTCTCCATATGTGATGTCCTTCATGTATGATGTCCTCTCTCCATGTGTGATGTCCTCTCTCCATGTGTGATGTCCTTCATGTATGATGCCCTCTCCCCATGTGTGATGTCCTCTCTCCATGTGTGATGTCCTTCATGTATGATGTCCTCTCTCCATGTGTGATATCCTTCATGTATGATATCCTTTCTCCATATATGATGTCCTCTCTCCAGGTGTGATGTCCTCTCTCCATGTGTGATGTCCTTCATGTATGATGTCCTTCATGTATGATGTCCTCTCTCCATGTATGATGTCCTCTCTCCATGTATGATGTCCTCCATGCATGGCATCCTCTCCCCATGTATCATGTCCTCTCTCCATGTATGGTGTCCTCTCTCCATGTATGATGTCCTCTCTTCATGTATGATGTCCTTCATGTATGATGTCCTCTCTCCATTTGTGATGTCCTTCATGTCTGTATGAAGCTTATCTCTGGAGATGTTCTATAATCATCAGCTTATTCTGCTCCCTACATGGTGTGCAATTTCCATGGCAACAGGGACACTCTTACATTGTAAATGGGGTGTTCCCAGTGCCTACGCATGTCATAGGGATTTGGTAAATATTTTCAGTGTCACATGAAATACATAGCTAATTAATTATGGTCTATGTCTGTACCCTACATCCTTTTCAAAGTGCTGCAACTAGCTGAAGGCACTCTGGTGGTATAGTGAGTGGTTAAAGCATTGGGCTACAAACCAGAAGTTGGGAGATTTGAGCCCACCAGCTGCTCAGTGGGAGAAAAATGAGACAGTTGGCTCCTATAAAGACTGACAGCCTTGGTAACCCTGTGGGGCAGTTGCACTCTGTCCTCGAGGGGCACTGTGAGTAGGAATCGACTCCATGGCAGTGGGTTTGCAATGAATTGATGCTCAGTAAATGTGAAAGGGGGAGCTCTGGTAGCGTGGTGCCTAAGGCACTTGACTGCTAACCAGAAGGCTGGTGGTTCAAACCCACCAGCCACTCCTCGGAAGGAAGGTTGGGCAATCTACTTCCGCAGTGATACTGCCTCGGAAACCTAAGGAGGGGTCACTATGATTCGGGTCCGACTCGACAGCACACAACAACAAACGTGAAAGGACTCGATCAGTCAGAGGAATTAGAGAGCTAGTAACTTTAGCCAGCAATCAAGCGAGAAGCGATTTCTCGCCTACAGAAAGGCCGGAGTGCGGCTGCCTGCGTTTGTGGGAGTCAGCCGGGGATTCCCATAGCCACACATGGCGAGATGTCCTCGAATTCCCACGGTCCTTGATGTCAAATGATGTAGAGACAGACATAAATGTCTTATAGGATCAAATGCAGAAGTGGAATGACTTTGGTAGTGTAGTGCCTAAGGCACTTGACTGCTAACCAGGAGGCTGGCGGTTCAAACCCACCAGCCACTCCTCGGAAGGAAGGTTGGGCAATCTACTTCCGTAGTGATACTGCCTCGGAAACCCAAGGAGGGGTGTCTATGAGTCGGGTCTGACTCGAGGGCACAGAACAACAACAACATAACCATAAGCCCAGAGCCACGTCCCCCCTGTGGCCGCCACTTACGGCACTATCAGCTGCGATACCCTCTGCCGCCAGCAGGGGCGCTCGGAGGTGCAGTGCGCTGAGTGCCAGGAACCTCTGACTTGTCTTTGGCTCTTTGCAGGCGGTGAAGCGCGCCCGCCCAGTGGCCGAGCCCAATCCAGGCTTCTGGTCTCAGCTCCAGCAGTATGAGGACCTGCTCCGACCCCAGCCCTGCCGGCCCCCGGCGCCTCCGGGGACAGTTCTTCCCAGCGAGGACCACCCCACGGAGTGCTCCGAGGACCCTGTAGAGCGTGCTTAGTCGTTCAGCCTTTGGGGACAGCACGTCCTCAGAGTGGGGACGCTGGAGGTTTCCGTGTCAGCTCTCCAGACCTGCAGCTCCCTCCCAGTGAGGAGACATTGGACACTGGTCAGAGAGTGGTCTTCACCTCCCCTTGAAGTTTCATCTTTCTGACTGGCGGCTTGAGAGGTGGTGGCACGGGGTGTCCACTCAGAAGGGGCGCAGACCAACCCCTTCCTCCTGGTCAGCCTCAGCTTCCCAGACAGGGTTGGGTTGGGGGAATCAAAACCACCGGGAGAGTTTTGGGAAAATCGGAGCTGGTAAGCCAGGGCCAGGGGACTCACGGTGAGCCCTTGGGAAACCCGGGGACCTGAGAGAGCTGCCACCCGGAGCTCAGCCACCTGACACTGACAAAGGGGAATGTCCAGAGGGTGCCGTGGCCTCTCCTGCAGCTCCCAGAGCTCACACTGGTCCTGTCGCGGAGTCAACCACAGGTCCAGCGGCACACGTGACTCTCAGAAGCTGCAGCGTGCAGGCCAGGGTGGAGGGCCGGCCGGCTCCAGCTGCTCCGTGTCCCAGCCCTCTGCCCGCCTCGCCTGGCCTCCACCATCCACACAGCAGCCCTGTGCTCCAGCCTTGGGCCGTGTCACCTTGGCCAGGCCCACGGCACAGGGCTGTCCCCGTCCACCCAGGAGTAAAGGGCAGAAGCCCCACCTGTCACCACGTCTGCCTGACTGCAGAGTCCTAGTTCAGACGCAGTCTCACATGGACGCCCAGGGACCTGAAGACTACCTTAGAAACCAGCATCACCCCCACAGTTTTCAATAAGACATCGGGGACAGAGCAGGAAGGATGGAAGGCTTGTGAATTATAGCGAATACAGTCGCTGGTTAATGTATTCAAATGTGTACAGACAGGCTGGTTAATGTATTCAAATGTGTACAGGCAGGCCATGTAGAACATAGGGGCCTGGAGCCATTCCCTTTCAGCCCCTGGGGGGGCTTAGTCCAGTTCCCTCCACCTCAGCTGGGGCCTCAGCTGCCTGCAGGTCTTTTCTGGTGGGGAACCGACCCTTCTTTCAGAAGGGCCCAAGCCCTGAGAGGCCTACCTGCACTGGGTCAGGTAGATGGGTGGTCCCCATGACCTCTGACCACACAGCCTAGGAGTGTAGGAGGCAGCCGGGAGTGTCCTGGGTGCCAGCCCGCCCCTCCTGGCCAGCCAGGACTAGTCACCCACCTGGCATGTTGGAAGCTGCCTGACTCATGGCCACCCTGTGCGCAACGCTGGGATCCATGGGCTGCACAGGCTGAACTCGGAAGTCAGTCACCAGCAGGCCTTTCCTCCTGCTCCGTCTCAGTCTGGAAGCTCCCCGAACGCTGTTCAGCAACACACAGGCCTGCACTGCCTGACGGGTGCTGCATCACCCAGCAGAGCTCAGATCGAGAGCCTGTTGGCCGGCTGTGTCTCCTCTACCACCTCCCATGCACGAGGGAGAAGACCTGGCCGCTGTAGGCCAACTCCCAGGGGCAGGGCCCTCCTCACGCAGCTCTGAGGCAGGAGGGGGCCCATTTCATGCTGACTGAGGTCGGCAGTGACGTCTGGGTGTCCTCTGTGCTCAGAACCAGTGACCAGCAAGGAGGGTGTGGGCCCCTGACCACCTCGTGGCCCCATGTGGATGGGCCCGGCCACCCTCATTGGAATCTGGGGCCAGGCCCATCTCCAGAGAGATTTGTTCAGGATAAAGAGGGGTGTGTGAACGTGCCCGCCTCCAGGGACATGCAGACTCCTGGGTTCCTTGTACCTCCGTGAGGTGGGTGTGGTGAGAGAAGACTGTGACACCCCCACACACCCCGGTCCCAGCGTGCCATGCTGCTTCCTGCCACCAGGGGGCACAGACAGGCTGACAGGGAGGGTGTCCCAGTAGGGGGTATGGGGTGTCTGAAGGCCTGTCACACCCCAGGGATGGTTGGAAGGAACAGGAAGATAACACACATCCTCCTCCCACCTCCCCACCCCCCCGTGGATTGCAGCTGACAGTAAACCGCCTTCCCAGCTCCCCCCACTTGACTGAGAGGTGCAGGCCTGACACTCCCCACCCCAGCTCTCCCCCCTCGACTGAGAGGTGCAGACCTGACACTCCCCACCCCAGCCCTCTGTCAGCCCCAGGGTTCCTGGTGAGTTTGAGCCGGGGACTCCAAGGGGGCATGTCCCCTGCTAAGAGGGCCTATGGGGACCTGAGGACCCTGTGGGTGGACACAGTGACTCTCCCTACCTCCTGTGCAGGCATGGCCACGTGTCCCACCACCTCCCTCCCACAAGCAGTCATGTGTCTACTCCCTGCCCCCACACCTCCAGGCGCTACGTGTCCCACCCCCTGGCCAGACATGGCTACATGTGTGCCCCCCCCAGCAGGCCAAGTGTGACAGACGAGGACACAGACTGCAAGTACGCACTTGCAGCTCAGAGACCACACAGGGGCCAGGGCAGCGGTGAGTGCGCCCTGGTTTGGCCACGCCTGCTGGACCGAGGAGTTAGTGGAAGGTGTCCCAGGCCTAAAGGCCCTCTCTCCAAGAATCTGAATTCTTATGTGGTGATGCCGTGTCCCTGCACGGCTTCCTGACTCGCCAATCCTTGATCCCTGCAGCCCAACCTGGTCTGCAGCCATCCCCTCCCTGCCCAGGGCCCTGGGTGGCTGCACCTTGGGCAGCCACCACCTCCTTATAGAGGCCAGAGGAGAACAGGCCCCAGGAGAGCAGAGGGGGCCAGTGGGGTGGGGGGAGGCGGGCCAGGTCCCAGTTGCTCCAAATGGGCTTTCAGAACAGTGGGGTGTCTAGGGCAGACCAGTCCCCCAAGCAGCGCCGTCCAACAGAACTTGCTGCGGAAGACACGTCCGGTATGTGGGTGTCCACCACAGTCGCTAGCCCCATAGGCCGCTGGGACCCTGAAATGTGTGCAGGGATGGACTCTCTCTCAGTCACACGTGGCTAGCTGCCGCAGTGCCGAGCACAGCTCTCCATCTCCAGCTGCTCCTCGCGCCACGCGCGCACCACGTAGCCACACTGGGCTCGTGGGTGAGGGGTCACCGCACCGGGGCCCGAGCGCCTGACCCGCGCTGCCCGGGCGCACGGGCCGCGCCAGGAGACAGCTCGCCATCAACGGCCACATCAGCGTCCAGAGCCAGGGAGCTC